GCCGTAGGGTGCCTTGGCTTGCCGCTGCGAGTGCAGGGGGAGGTGGCTGAAGAGGTGAGTCTGGGGAGCCCTCAGCTCGGTGGCATGCTGCGGGCACCCGGACAGCTTCTCTGGGATTTCGGCATAGGGGGACGGTGCCGTCGTCTGCATGCTGCGGTCCACCGGTGAGGAGGGAGAGCTGACGGATGGCGTGCTCTACAAGAGAACAACATGGGCATGTTAATGCGGTGGCCACCGCTATCTTCCAGTGAAATGAAAATGTGAGGTAGCTGGGAGTGCTTCCCACACTGCCTTTTAAGAAAAAACAACGAGAAACTGGTTCACAGTATATACTGCCCAGCCTGAACAATGAACTAATTTCCTTCCTTCCTTTTTCCAACTTCTTCCTTGCCCAGTAATTGAATTTTCCTCTCCTAATTACCCTGGCTAATTTCTCTTGAACACTAGTATGCAGAAACATTGCTGAATATCTTTTGTATGTGTTTTTAAGGAGGGACAAGGCTTTGGAGAACAGTTTTCTGTGGAAATCACCTCAGGCAAGAAGGTTAAATAAACATAAGCTGGCATTTTTGATGCACTGGGTTCCTCTCCTGGTGACATTACAGCCTCTGGCAGGCAGAGGCAGCATCACAGCACATTTGTCCATAGGTGCTTCTAACCTGGACGATGGGTGATAAGCAATGACAAGAGATGGATGACAACTACAGTGCCCACAGAGGCAGAGGTGACGAGCAGATACTGGAATGAGACGTGGGACCTACATCCCACTGCCACCTCAGCTCGCTGTCATTTGGTGCACAGACCTGGACTGATAATTGCGTTTACATGCTCCCTTCTTATGTAACCTGTGTTACTGACCAAGGCTGGCATCTCCTTTCCTAAAAACACCTAAAATGAGAAGTCTTAAACTGCAATTGCAATCTTGCATTTTTGGTTTTAGGCATATTCATAACACATAAGGAGTGGTGCAACTTTATTTAGTTTACATAGTCCTAAACTGTAACTCTGCGGCTTTGACCAAACTCTCAAGAGATCTCTAGAGCAGGCACAAAACCAAAACGCTAACAGAAATGCTTTTGAAAATTGCTGGTAGGAAATGTATTGGTTAAAGGAGAATATGATTTACTGACTAAACAGTGCTGAGCCATCTAAATGGGAAGATGGGTGTGAGAAGGAAGCCAATATCTTTCTCAGAATTAAGTCCTGTCTGACACCTCACAAGAAATCCTGATAAACTGGTACGGATGCTTTTGAAGGAACATACAGCCTTCCTGAGCTGTTTCGACCCCTTGTCTTGATGCAAGGGGTGGGATCCACAACTATTCACAATAGGAATGACTGTAGATCATCAGGCACGTGGCTGACACTTCTTTTGGTCTGGGGAAGGAGGAGGTAGTCTAAAAAGGAATTACTGCCTTGTATTACTTACATGCCTTTTTTTTTTAATATATATTAATGTAGCCAATTATTAGAGCTATATAAATGAAGACCTTCAACACTTTTAATTGTGTGAATATTTTCTCGAGGCTTCAGTGGTTCGATGAGGGAAGAAACTCAGTCAAATGTCTTTCTGGTATCTATTGGCAACAACTGAAACCGAAAATCCAGGTATTAAGATCCTACCTCTTTTGTGGCAGGTAGATACAGTGATCAGAGATCACTACATTTTATTCTCTGTCATACTACAAAATCTCTCCAATTTACATTTGCCATATTGACTCACAGTTCTTACAAGTAGGAATGAACCTGTGTCAAACAATGAAATGCAGGAATAATTATTACTGTTTCTCATTATCAGCAGTTCACTATCTTAAATTTTGTAAAAAATAAATCCAGTAGTATGGCTTTTCAAAGAAAAAAGAAGCCAATAAGTACTTAAACTAGAATTAAAGTTTTACTTTCTGTTTATGCTTTTGAAATTTTCCTGCTGCTTATTTTCCTATAACTGCATGCATATACTATTTGTAAATATTGCAATCATCACAGAGAAGGCAGTAACTACTCCTTCATTTAAACTACATTTTGCATCACGTTTTTCTGAGCATTATTCTGGAAAGCTCTAATGGCTTCATGGTCTGCAGTAAGAACTAAAAACTTTCAAGAGCTATCCTTAGGGTCAATCACGTATGTGACTTATACCATCCCCATTACAGCCCATTAAAATATTGCTGAATTGTAAAAAGCTGAACACCTGCCAGTTCCCCTCTGTGATTTCCTTCTAAAGACAATAGTCGCCAAAACTACTGAGCGCTCCCTGCAGCCTTGCACACAGACTGACCTCATCTTTCTGCATGCTCTGAACAGCCATGTGTCTAGAATAGGGATGGGTAAAATTGATCCTTTTCCAGTCAAAATGTTCTTTCAGCTTAGAGAAAAACTGAGAGCACTGGGAACTCAGTTCTCAGTTCTGTGCTCATGTCTCCTTTTGTTATTGTGCAAGGGCAATCTCCTAGTTTCCTTGAACATCTGGTGCTCTTTCTAATTCTACTACTAAGCATATTTGAAGGAGAGATAAGCAATTGCACAATTTTTTTATAGTGATAAGGCAAAACCTTTGGGACTAGATTAATTTCCCTTGAGAATTACCGACGATTCTATTGTTGTGTTTCAGAGTAAAATGACTTCTGAATCCTATCACTTTCTTCTGAAAACTTCATAACCACCACCGTATATTCATTCTACATATCTGTTATATCCTTATTTGAAATACAATGTACCAGCTCCAAACTTCAGCCGAAACAACCATATTATAATTAATCCTTTCAGCGAGAATACAATCAAAACTAAGAATCTGAAAAGCAGTGCTCCTACAACATCACTGTTTCTACAGTCCTACACATCTGTGCTTTGATTAGTTTCAACTCTTCTTAAAGACTCATCAGTCAACAACTTGAAGAATTAAGGGAAAGGCAAACATTTTGATCTTTGAAAAAAATCTTCAAAAAGATCTTTAAAAGGAGGACTTAAAACCCCACTCTCTCCCCCAGAGTCAGACATTCCTCAAGCACTCCTACCTTTGTAAGAGCTGCAGTTGATACTAAGGAGCGGCCCAAGGTTGCTTCTGGATCGGGGTAATCCACAGACATCTGGCGACCTGGAGATGTAGGAGCGACGTCTGCCAGTGCCGCACCAGTGCTACGGGGACCTGGTCCTCTCTCCTGGGTTTTTTCCTCATGTGCTTCCTGATGGGTGATTTCTGCTGGTGACCTGGAGGTCCTGCTAACCGACTGCACCGCACTAAGGACGGTCATCTTTGTCAGCAGCGCTTTTGGCAGACCATCCATAGAGTCCGTGTGAGCCCCAGCAAAACAGTCTGGAAGTCTGATGTCTTCATCAGCGCTCGTGGCATCCTGCAGGCCGTGTCGAGAGGGGTGATGCTGGGGGCTGGCTGTCACCGAGGGGGTTGTGGATAGGACTGACTCAGCCTGGCTGTCTTCATCATCATCTTCATTGTCATTTTCATCTTCATCCGCACCGTCAGACTCCTCCACATCATATCCTGACCGGTCATAGCCAAATCTTTGCTTCTCACCTGCAAAAGTGGGGATTAGAAGGTAAGCCAATGAAAGTCCTGGACTGACTGGGAAGGAGGTGGGAAGGAGTAATTAGAAACACCGAAAAACCCCATGTCACGTGCATTTTTCAGTCACATTCCATTGCATCAAAGTAATGGGGAAGATTTTTATTTTCTAGGGTACATAATTACACAGATACGTCATCTGTCACCTTCTGCTTCTGTGTTGTTTTTAACCTTCTAGATTTGGCCGTTTTCAGCCATTTATAACCACTTGCTCAAAGTCACCCTTCACTCTTTCACTTGGGGAGAAGCGAGCAGATTCCCGGTTCATTAAGTTCCCAGTGACAACATATGAAGCTGGTCTGCCAACCTTAGCGGTGGGATATTCTCTAGCTGGTTGTGACTCAGAAGTGGGTGTCCTTGTACCCAATATGAATCACTGCTGCAAAGGTTTTTGAAGGATGCAAACAGAAAGACTGGAGGCTGTTAGTCAGGAATCTGTCTTGTTAACAGGCAGAAGAGACCAAAATTAGACCTTACCAGATTTCTTCACTTTGCTAATGTTTGGAAAGGTTTATTAACAAATCATCCAAGATGTCCTAGGAGGCAAGAAAGCCCCAATCCTATCAAAACTTACCTACGCATGAAACTTTGCTCACATGAAGAAGCCCTCCTGACTTTAAGTCTTAAAGCCAAACTGCTGTCTAGTGGTAAATTTCTCTACAAAATACAGCTCTACTGCAGCTTTTCACCTTCTTTTATGTCATAACTTGGAAAGAAAGAATCGTCTTTAGTAAAGAGACAGAAAATCCCATCTGCTGTATCTGATTCCAAGCCAGACTGTCTGGGATCATATTTTATAAAAGACAAAATGCTCTGGATGCACTAATATTTTATATTCGATTAAAGGCCTGTCTGCTGAGCTCTCAAAAAAAAATATCAGCGTAAAAATCATTTGGCTCTGCAAAACCAACGATGGCTGCTTAGTTAAAATCTCAGAGATCCTGTTCTAAGGAAATCTACAGCAACTTATCATCAAAACAAATGATTCTGAAAAAAATCAGACCTTTAAAAAAATTTGAATGGACTACCAATGCTTTAGGCTGCTACGCTACCAAAACCAAAACAAGCGTCCTGAACTCCAGGTAAAATAAATGGGTTTAATTGAGCTACCTCTCAATAAGTTACCCACCATTATAAGCCTTTATGGTTTCAAATGAGCAGTGCAATTAGGAAGGAGACTAATAGCTTCTTTGAAAAAATCTCTCTATAATGACTTTGCCCCTCTTTGCCTACACAGTAATTTGTCCATTAACTAAATATAGAAATTATAGATTTTATACATTTACTACAGCAGGCACAAAGCTGAAATGTTATTAAAAATACCCTAAATCCTCCAGGTCATTGGAACGATGCTAAAAACTATATTTTTTTATAATTTTAAATAGTCTTTATTTATAATTCTCATCTATAGACAAAGCTGTTCAAAAAATAAAATACATTTTAGTGGGAAAATTAATTCAGTAAGGTCCATTCCAAAAATATGGCAAGTAGGATTGTTAAAAATATTATTAACAAAACCACGTGGAGTCGATTTTTTTTTCTATATACTGCTGTCATTTCTCTTCTTCACACAAACAATGTTTCTTCATCATTAATTTGCAAAGCAAACAAATCTAAAATGTTAGAACTTCTACATATGTTACACTTCTGAATGGAAATAACTTCCCTCAATGCCTCTGTAACAGATCTCAAAGACTTCTCCATGTGTTACATCTAAAGGGTGACCCATGCATTTCCTGCAACTCTTTAAATAACGCATGGGGCATTGCAAAATCTCAGGTTTCAGTCTGGACTCCCTCTTAATTTTGGTGTATTTACCAACATCACGTAACTATTCTCTGGGAAATCCTACTGTATCTTTTCTTTTTTTCTCCCTCTCTCCACATGAATCATATTTTCTATAAATGTTGATGTCAATCATGAATGACTGTCTCCACTGGCAAGAGAAACTACCTGAAGTGATTAGACTGACTTATCACATTTGTAAAGCAAGGAAAACATATGCTCAAACAATGCCGTGATTTATAATAAGGAACTATCTTTCTTTCAAATCAACATTTAAAATCACAACAGGATTTACTAGCAAATGCTGCTTATGTAGAAATTTTCTGCTTACGTCTTGACCTTCTAGAATAAAACCATGGAAAGGGAAAGGAGAACCGTGTGCGGGGGATAGATTCCTTACATGCAGGACTCCGTGGGATATCATTTCCCTCTATTGTTTCCCTGTTTACCTCCACCCTTTGTGCATTTGCCAGCTTCTGTTTAAGTGTGGTTACCTGGAGCCAGAGCCTGCCGTGTAGGCGAGGTGACAGCGATGAATGTGGTTCCCTTCCTCCCACACCGCTTCGAAACGTCAGATGAGAAAAAAACCCATTCCTGACTCGCTCACTCTAGCAAATGCATGAAGGAACGCTCCTGCTCTGGCTTTTATGCCTGCATGTTTGCTGAAACAAGAGGTGTCCAAGCTTTCATAATTAGTGATCTTGCTAAGCACTGCTGTAAATCAGCGAAGTTGCGAGAGGATCTGATGCCAGAGTTTTAAGTGGCAGAAAACCCAGGCAGGTTATGGGTCTTCTCTGAATGAGGCATCAAGCCGAGACTGTGACCACTCCTTGTGGTGAAAGACGCTTTTCTAAGCACTGTCTTGTTAACGAAGTAGTGTTGGCCCCCGTCCATTCTGGTAATTGTACGCTGCCTACTAAAGTTCCCTTGCAGTTTTAATTGGGGAAAAATTAATTCTTTGCTTCCTATCTTAAACTATGCACAATTATAACCATATGCTTATGTAGCTGATATATATACATATATAAAAAACTAGAACTGACTCAATTTCCAAAGAGAAAAAAATTACTTCTGTGTTTAACTTTGTACAAGGTTGTAAAGCAGTGTGGGATATTTTAGAATGAAGGATGTGTCATAAATTTAAAGGCCACTAGCATATGGGGAAATGGCTTTTGCCATGAAAGTTCACAGTTTTTAAAAAAAAAAAAGAAAAAAAGAAGAAAAAAGGAAAAAAGTTTCACACTATTAAGTGAAGGCTTTATGAAAGCTACTTCTCTTCCAAACTTGTAACTCTCACCATTTTAACAGAAAGACTGTTCAAGATTGCCTTAATTTTTTATACAGAGTGGTTTTGGATGAGTAGGAAATGTCTCTCATCCTCTGTCAAATGCTGCAATCTTCTCTTTTAAACCCTTAGAAAGAGTCTTTCTTTGTCCTGGACTTCACAGGAGAAAGCGGAACTCTTGGCTACGGACCTGAACTCTGCAAAAATTAGGAAGAGCTGGAAATAAAGGTATAATAGAAGTGTGGATGCAGCTTTTGATTGGGGATTTTGCTCGCATGCCAGCTATAATTATATTTAACAAAACTGAGGGTTTAAGCCTATGTACTGAAGTAAGTGTATACAAATCAAAGACAAAAATCATCTTAGTCCTTCATTTATTTTGTTTCAGTCCTCAGTTAATCAGCTCTGTATTGTGTTTGTGGTGTTGATGAGCTTGTTGGCGAAGGCTCTGTTATACTCACATTCTACCCAAAAGCAAAGCGGGAAAGAAAAAGCTTCAAGTTCTTTAGCACAATACCATTAGTTGGAATTATCAACATCCTAATATGTCCATTAGTGAAGCGCCTAGGGCTGATAAGTCTTCACACTGCTTTTTCCAGTTGTGATGCTATGAATTAGGTGACTGAAATAGGTCTCCCTATGTACTTTTAAGTTCTTTATTTTAAAAGTTTTACCTACAGGAATCTTTACTGTACATAGTTTTAACAATGGCCATCTAATTCTGACCATACTGCAAAGTAATAAAAGAAAGGTTCTTCAGAATCTCAACTTACAGCTTTTAGTTTTAATTGAGATATTATCACCAATTAGTCCATCACATGACCTCACTTATCATGCCCTGCTACAGACTTGGCAATTTCTGCACCAAATCCAGTCATAAAGTTCAATGGCTTGTAACTTAGATTTTTAGATAGATTTTTCACATAAAGAGCAAAATATTCATTTTCCTTCTTTCATTGGCAGAAGGAGAAGAAAGACCTGAAAATATAAGTCCAGACTGCTAAAATGTTACACATTCCTACGCAAACAGACAGTTATGTAGATAACTATAGAACTGCTATTAGCTCTACTTACACAGATTAAAAGACATAGTCTACTAAGTTTCTGTTGGTCTGCCACTATCCCCATCTAAATTTAAATTTACTAAATTTATTGACTTTTAGCCTCTGAGTTATACAAAGCAGTATTTATCGTCTCAAATTGTGGAAGTATCTTCAGTTATGGATTGATATCTACATAAAAACATTCAAAAATGAAGCATCTGTTCTACATTATATATTCTCCACCAAACTGAAGAAATAAATTTATATACTATGGCAATAAAGGCAGAAGTATTTTTAGTTCATCATTATATGATCATAAACTTGAAAGTAATGTCTGTATATCCTCAATGCACTCTATTTTTCTAAACAATTACAAGCTGAGACTTGCCTTTCACCCGTTATATTAGTCTTGTAATAGAGCATTCCACAACCATTTCAATAAATTTTAAAAAGGGTAAAACAAAGTGCTGTGAAACAACGCTAGCATCTATACCCAAACTTGCTGTCTTCCCATCTTTCTAAGTCTGTTCATAGCCTTGACTTGACTGACTTCAGTCTTGCTGCAGCTACTGTCCACTGCTCATCACCATCAAACAGGACTCACAGTGACATCTACTGGGTTAAATTCATACTGGTAATAGCCACTGCTCCTCAGAAATGAGAAAAAATACCCCAACCTGTAGGCTTTTGACTTTCATTCCTAGCGTATGGAAAGTAACAAAGTAAAACTAAGCAAAAAAGTAAGAGTAACCTCTGTTTAAAGAGATGTTTACACCTAAGCCTTCCTGAGTAACCTGTATATTGTCAATCAACCCTAGCACGAGGTAGTCTATCCCAGGCTGTAGGTGTAGGGCTCCAGCATGCTTAATGTACATCTACTTGAAGACTAGATGTCTACACTGATAAAAAACATATATATAAAAAAAATATTTCTTGTTAGTTATACAGAACCAGCCTTCCATTCTCTTTGCAAAAGGAGGATATTATTGCAAGGATTTTCATTTATTTTCACTCCTTAAATGTAGGTGCAGTGAAAACACAGACTGAGTCATGATTAAGCTAATGAAGAGCCATGGAAACTCACTTAAGATCTACTATAAGTAATATATAGCTAATTAACTTAGAACCATTGAATCTTTAGGAGGGTTTATTTAATACTGGAGAAAGCAAAAGTGGTTTTATATATATATGTGTGTGTGTGTGTATAAATACATATCTGAAACTTACAATTAGGTCTTTTCACTGGTAAAGTAATGAATGTTTTGGGATAAAATTTCTCCATAGAGACCATTTAAATAAGTTCTGCCCATCTACTGATTTCATTATTAAATAATTATATTAAATAACTGCATGTTTACTCAGGCATACCATACCACTCATACATTAGCTTACATATGAAATATTACAGGTTTAAAGTTTATAACTGTTTTAATTTGAAGACAAATTATTGTTATTTTTAAGACTGCATAGCAAAACGTTGGGTCAACATGGCCAAAGAGGATATCCCCAGTTGCAGTCTGTCACACTAAACAGTTCACCTCGTCTGACAATTTAATTCAGATATTAACATTCCTTACATTGTAACCCTGTATTTTGGTGACAAGAACATTCAACAGAGCAGAAGATGAAAGATAAATGGATGAGGGAGTGGTTTTGAATACAAAAAGCCAGGCCAGAAATTTACTAATACCCAAATGATGACAAGTCCAAATACAAAGAATGCTATGTTAAAAGCTCTGATTGCACATAGTCTCAGACAGCTAGAGAGCATCTCTCTCTTTTTTCCCTAGATGCTACAGCACAACAAAATTTCAGCTTCTCAGACTATGGAAAAAACAGGCTCTGTGTGTGCGTGCCTGTGCGCGCGCGTATGCCTGCATTCAGGATTGTGCACAATTTTGCACTCCTTATTCAATCGGCATGCACTATTCATCTGTACTGCTATTGCCATAAGAATAATCAGTATTCCAAATGTTCAGGTAACAAATTAGAGACAGACTATGGGTCCGGAAACAGGCCAATCTCACACGGCCTATGGGAAGAAGAAATTTCTTTTCTGAGGTCATAATTATTTCTTATCAGATTTTCTGCACCTTCCTCCACAGCATCTCACACTGCCTTCCAACTGAGGGAAGAGATGGGACTGGGCAGACCACTCTCTAAGATAGAGATAATTTTTAACAACCAGGCAACTAAAAAAAAAAAAAAAGGTACGTGTTCTAAGACATCTTTTTTTTAAAGCCCCAAAAGGATACCTGACACAAACCCACCAGCAACGCACATCAGAGGGAGGAGGGGTGAAAGGACCAAAGACGCCACGCCACGAGCGCAGCTCAATACCCAGGGCCCGTCACATTGTCCTTGGCGGGTGACGTGCTGTTGGCAGGGCCGCCCCCAAAGCCCAGACCTGGCACGAGGGGTGCTGCCCCAAACGCGAGCTCTGCTCCACTGCCCTGGGGAAGGGGCACCCAAAGAGGTGGTTGGAGCCACTTTGTTAACTGAGACTGCCTAGACACCTCAAAAAAATAAATACATTCAATCACATTCAAATGTACCAAAAAAGTTAGCATGTACAGGATTTCAGAGAGGGCAGCAGAACCACCTACATTTGAAAAAGCACGTATGTGAATACTTCACACTTTTTTCTTTTTTTTCCCCTCTTGAAACTTGCCTTAAAAATGGGCCAACAAGCACGTTTTAGAAGAATCATGAGAAATACCTTCAAGTGTGGCTAGGTGCTCTGGGAGATGAAATCGCATTTTTAAAGTGTACAGTTACTCATTGAATTTACATGCATAATTGTAAATGCACTGTGTTCTGCAGCAACTGGAGAGGCTGGACTGGTTTGGCTGCAGCAAACGTGTGTTTATCGCGGGCTTAATTACCCTGCTTCTTGGATGGGACTTTTGTGCTGAGCTTTGTGCTGCACAGCTGGTTTTGCTATGGGTACCTGAGCCAGATTGTTTAGAGAAGGTAGGGATTTTATCACCAAGTTGTTTTTTGGTTTGGGGTTCTCTAGTTAAAGAAAGGAGTGGTACCTGCTCCATT